GTCCCTGAGCGTTCTGAAAGGCAGATGATGGGGCAGCCATCTCCCTGGCCCTCGTCAGAGCAGCCCTTCAAAGCTCCACTTTGGGGACCCGAGCAAGGGCTGCACCCCTAGCCACCTGCTGCCCGCACCTGCAGCGCTCACATCCTGGCTGTCACTCATGGAGGGGAAGCGTAGCCCTGACAGGCCCCACCTGGGCCAGGTGGCCCCTCAAGCCTCCACTGACACGTGGGCCATTGTGTTCCGGCAGCGTGCCGTGTGGGTCACATGTCCACCTGTGCCCGCACCGGTGCCTTCCACCTTCAGGCACTTTGCTGTTTACAGCCTGAACTGTAAACAACGGTGTGATGGGATGGTCAGCAAGAGAGTGCGTCTCGGGCTCTGCTGGAGAACGTCACCCTCACCCTGTCCTGCCACGTCTTAAACAAGGACGGTGAAATTGCTGACCTTGCCGAGATACTACCTGGTGGAGCCAGAAGGTTCCGAAGCCTCCTTCCAGTGCACTTATTGATTAGAACAAGCTAACAACACTGCACTTAAATCACGTGGGAAGGAAACAGCTGGTGGAAATGTAATTCCGTCAACCTCAGAGCTGCTGGGTCCCTTTCCAGGGACAGCAGACGTGGAAATCTGGGGCTTAGGCCAGCTGAGGCCAGTGTCTAAAGGTGAGTATGAAAGACCCCACCCACAGCCAGCCCCCAGGCATGCCCATCAGCAGCAGAGCCACAGCCGGGAGCAGCCACCGTCCTGGAGAGGAGGACCCCGCACATTTCTGTGTCTACAGCAGGATGGGGGAGATGGTGGAAGGGCAGCAGTGGTCAGGGATGAGCGGGGAGAGTCCACAGCGTGGGGACCTGAAGGTGACCCAGGTAGACGGCAGCCATCATCTTCATCAGGGATGGTCACTGGCACCCTGCTCCAAGGAGCACATCCCCTGTGGACGGGAGACCAGGGCCACTGCACTGGCTTCCTCTTCCGAGCTGCGTGGCAGGGCTCACCACTTCCTCCGTCAGGCTCTGTGGGCACAAGGCCTCCTTCCTGAGCACAGCCCAGGAGGACTGCCTCCCAGGGAAGAGGCTCTTGATGGTCCAGTCCTTCTCCTGGCTAACTCTCCGGCTTGCACTTGAACGTCCCTGTTGTTTGCAGACCCTCAGCAGGATGAGGAGGTTAGATTAGTTTCCAAATGCAGAACCTTGAGGTGGAGAGTCTCTCTAGGCTGGGGCCTCCCGGCCTGCA